ATATTATATATATTTATTTTTGTATAAAAATTTTGTAGGTGTTTCTCTGGCAAAGGCTTCAATATGCGCAAGAGGTCCTAAGTTCAAACCACCACTTCTTCACAAAAATTAGCTTAATTTGTGATATGACGATGACATGGACAAGGGGATGACGTGAGAAAACAATGATGCGGTCATCATTGGATAGAGGAAGCAATGATGTGGTAATGACATGGCATCATAGGAGAGAGAAAGCAATGATGTGATGATGACATGGCAACATGGGAGACAGAGCGGGTGGTAAGGTGAAGATTTGGAATCTCTCCTCTTCCTTGTTTTTTTTTAACCATTAGATTAATTTTAATGATTCAAATTTAAATTTTTTAAAATTATTATTAAATTATAAAAATAAATAAATAATAAATTACAAACTCTATTAAAATTTAATGCTAATAGTTTGCAAATATATTAAATATTTTTAAAATTGTTTTTATAAATGGTTTATAAAAATTAAAATCTTAATTGTTGAAGTATATTAATCTAATACTTAGAAAAGAAAGAGGAAGGAAGAGGATTGAAAGGGAAGAGGAGAGGTTCTCAACCAGATGAGGTGGAGGATAGTGTTGACGTGATGGTTGTCATGTGGTATTTTAAATTTACATAACAAATAAATTTAGCAACTTTCATTAAACAAATAAACTTCAGTCACTAATAAATTTAGCAACTTTGATTAGATAAATAAATTTCCGTCACTAATTTGTGACAGAATTTTCATTACAAATTGGTCATTATTTTGTGACAGAATTTTCGTGAGATATCCATCTCTAATTAGTGACATATTAGTGATGCAAATTTTACATCACTATTTTTTAATTTGCATCACTATTTTTATCAATAATCTGGCAGTAGTCCATCGCTAATTAGTAACGGAATTTTGACTTGTGTCACTAAAATAGTAACAGTGGAATTAGCAATGGAATTTTCTCTGCCACTAATTTCGTCGCTAATTTTGATTAGCGACAGAAATTTCATCCCTAAATTTTGTCGCTAATTTGCTTTTTTTTTTTGTAGTGATGAAATAGAAATGGATATGGAGATGAAAATAGAGTTTAAAATTGTGTCTGCATACACATGGGATTTTTGTATAAAAATACTAGAATGCCCTCCTACAAATTAAAACTCCTGCCCAAGAAACATTCATAAGAAACCATTCTTCTTTACTGACAAGATAAATCAAACCACCATCATTAAGAAAAATCCAGAAAATCCAGCAATATAAATCAAACCCAAAATAATCACACAATCCAGGGACATTATCAACTTTCAAAATCGACATCCTACATATCACCTGTCAACCAATGTCACCTTTAGAAACAATATGAATTTCTTGTTTCTAAGTTTCCACCCAATGAGCATTCAAATGATGTTTCTAAGATAGGATTCTTGTATTATTTTTCCTACATTTATTTGTTTAATCAAAGTTAAGCCAACTTTTGCTGGCTAGGAGAGATATCTACATTTAGTGTCCAAATATGCCCTGAATAGCATTGCCTCTAATAAGAAGATATCTATGTTTTAGCAAAAAAAAAAAAGTCAAGCCAACTTTTGCCAAATACTAACGCACTATTAAATTTGACTACAAATATACTTAATCGGTTTTAAAATTAAAAATCCCAAAGCAACTCCAACAAGATGCAATGAATAGATGAAATCATCATTCACAACCAATACTGTCAAGCATGAGAGAAAGCTTAGAAGTTCAAATGTAGGGCAAAAAAAGGTGTCATTATAGATGGGGTCATCGACATCGAGAAAGGTGACGATTGCCAGATATAAAGAAGGGGACAAAGACAAAGAGAAGAAAACATGGGTGTTATTAGCCGTTGCACAATCTTGTTCAGGAAGTAAAAGAAATGAGGGAAGAAGGCAAAATTTGAAGTTGAGGAGAAGATGAAGCTAGAGATCCATGAAAAATGGGGGAGGAGGCCAAGATGAAGCTGGACACCACTGCCAGCACTACAAAAAAACAAACTTTAGGCGACGACTTTCAGCAGCGACAAAAAAAGTCACCCCTCAAAGTCCACTTTCCGCGGCGACACCAAAAAGTCGTCGCTGAAACTAAGACTTTCAGCGGTGACGAAAATGTCACAGCTGAAAGTGGACTTTCAACGGCGACTTTTTTTGTCGCCGCTCAAAGTGGACTTTTAGCGGCGATTTTTTTTGTCGCCGCTGAAAGTTCGATGCTGAAACTAAGACTTTTAGTGGCAACAAAAAAAGTCACCGCTAAAAGTCCACTTTGAGCGGTGATAAAAAAAGTCGCCGTTGAAAGTGGACCTTCAGCGGTGACTTTTTTTGTCACCACTAAAAGTGGACTTTTATTGGCGACTTTTTCTGTCGCAGCTGAAAGTTCGCTACTAAAACTAAGACTTTTAGCGGTGACAAAAGTGTCGCTACTGAAAGTGGACCTTCGGCGGTGACTTTTTTTTGTCACCGCTGAAAGTTTGCCGCTAATAGTGGACCTTCAGCGGCGACTTTTTTTGTCGCCGCTGAAAGTGGACTTTTAGTGGCGACTTTTCTAGTCGCCGCTGAAAGTAGACCTTTAGTGGTGAACTTTTAGCGGTGACTTTTTTTGTCACCATTGAAAGTTCGCTACTGAAACTAAGACTTTCAATGGCGACAAAAGTGTTACCGCTGAAAGTGGACTTTCAGCAGTGACTTTTTTTGTCACCGCTGAAAGTGTAATATAATAATATTTATTTTATTTTACAATATTAATAAACAAATTCAATCTGGCTCAGTGGCAAGAAGATTGGACACGAAAGGAGGCAGTCACGAGTTCAAACCTTGAAGAAGACACATTTAAGGTGAAAATATTTGGACGATGATGTGGCGAGAAAGAGAGATGTGGCAATGACGTGGAGGTGGCTAGTGATGATGTGGCGATCGACGGTGATGATGTGGCCAACAGCGATGACATGGCGGCCGGCAGCGATGACGTGGCATTGGTGAAGCCAATTCTTCTTAGGCATTACTTTCAGCGACGACAAAAAAGTTGCCGTTGAAAACACTTTCAGCGGTGACAAGAATGTCACCGCCAAAAGTGTCTTTCAGCGGCGACAAATGTCGCCACCGAAACTTCTAAAAGTCGCCGTTGAAAGTATCTTTCAGCGGCAACCTTTTTAGTCGCCACTGAAAGTTTTCAACCATGACTGCTACGGCAATGACTTTTCAGCGGCGACTTTTATACTTTCAGTGAAAAGGTCAATTTTTTTGTAGTGCAGGTTGCCGCTCAACAACACCATTGCCGTCACATTTGTGAGCACAAGTTGTCAGCGAATTGCGCCGGCAGTGGGAGGACAAGGGAGATGGTGGCTCGACAACCTAAAGGGAAGAGACAAAGGTTAAAAATGAAAATACTGATATGGAATTAGAAATGTTGGGGTCCCAACATGGAAATCCTTTCCATATGTTTTGATGGATATGGAAATGGATTTTTTTTTCAAATTCCATGCTACCAAATATACTCAAAGCATGGAATTGGGTTCCATTTCCATTTCCATATGCTCATAACCCAAAAATTCTACCATGTAGATACATAATAACAAACAAAAGAAATTATAAATTAGGCACACATATATAGACGTACCATCTATCTTTTTCATCATTAGCACCAAATATGACATTATAATTTATAATAGCTATATGCAAAAAGCCCGTTCAAGTGGCATTTGTTGATGATTTTCAAATGTTGATTTGTGAAAGAATTTGTGAACTTGCCTTTGAAAGCCTGAATTACATTTGTGAAATGTTTGTGAATTGAATCTGAAATGGTTTTGGAAATATGAGTTGTAAATAATAACAAAGGGAAAACTGTTTTTGGGTGAATGTCACCAAGGGGCGCACGTGTTTATGGGATGCATTTAATAGGATTATTTTATAATACAAATGATTAAAGAGTACTTTAAGAAAACCAACACATATTTTATATAAATAATTAACCAAATTAATTTTTTTAATTTCTGTAAATTAGTTGTCTAATTCTTAAATTTAAAACAGAAGAGTATATAACAATAATGGGGATTGGGTTGATTACCCGATTCAATAAGCCGGCTCAATTTTCAGCAGCTCATTGGGCATAAAATTTGCGCATATTTAGGATTTGAAATTGAAACCTAAGTAGCATTGCCAAATTCCTCTAATGAGTACGCTGTTACTAGTAAAATACAGAGAGTACCCGGCAACTCATTTTCCACACCAACAGTGTACAATTAACTATCATAAAGTAGAACAAGAAACTTCATTACTACAATTTTTCCAAAATGTGCTGTTAAGCCACAAGGAAAATTCTAAACTAAGTAGCGGATGATCTTCTGATAAATCTACATTCGAAGGTACGTTGAATCGGAATAAGAAAGAATAACAGACATAAACCTAACCTATTTTGAACTCACAAGAATAAAGGTAGATTTCTTTCCTTTTTCTCTTTATTTCAAGGAAGAATTGAATGACACGCACATTGGAAATGGAACCTCGTTCGAAATTAGAATGCAGAATCATAAGGTTGCACCCTTCATTGTTAGATTCCCCAAAATCTTCAGTACAAAACAACCTTGAACCAACCAACATCAATGAAGTCATATGAGATTATGAGGATCAAACCAACCTCAAACCAGCAAACTTGTCTGCAGAGATCCCATATTCCCATGCCTATGTATTGACCATCAAAATCTTCAATTGATTATAAATGTCAAATATGAGATCTGGCTCTTTAACTTGCTCTGCAAAATTACTGCACAAGTAAAATAGAGAAAAGGATTTTTTTTTTTTTTTTCAACAGCACAACAGCAGTTGAACATCAAGCAACTAAAAACATTTGATGGATGACTGCACACGTCAGGCTTATAAAAGGAAGTGGCTAACGCAATCATCCTTCTCTTAGAAATGAAAACCATACATAAAAACCACTGATGTTGAAAAATAGAAAGGGGAAAAGGTGAGAGATCAATACATATGTTCGCGAGCTACATTGCATTTGTAGCACGTAGCAATAGATTCTGGCCAACCAACAGCACCACATACATCACACGGTTCAACCTGCAATGGAAACAAACACGACAACTTTTTGAAAATCAATTGTACAGAGAAGCCCAGTCTTCTTGATCCCTCCTTTTGAACAAGTAAAATTTCCTTCTGGAGAAAAATACAGTGGGATTAGGACTTTCTCTTACACTGAGCGTATCGTCTTGTTGCTCCAATTTCATGACTGTTTAAGGCCTCTTACTGTGATTTCTGGGCTGCTTCGTCTGCAAGGATGAGAAAGCAAAGGGAGAAAATCATGGTGATTATTATGTCTCCTTACTGTGGCTTTCAAATCCGTTGGCTATACAAAGAGGATGTTTGACAAAGACAGATAAGATAGAAGATCAATTCAAGATTATATCCACGTATAGCAGAAGTAGACCAAGCGCATTCACAACATAGTCATCCACCATCTTAAGGCATTTTAAACTAGCTGATATATAAGTAATGACTGTAAATGTTTTCAGCATCACTCTAAATTCTGTGGCTGTATTTGGAATCAGTCCTTAGTTCATCCTTTATCTCAAGTTTTAACAAGCACAACCTGAAAAATGGTTTTGAAACCCACAAGTGCCCCAGGTCACCAAATAAAAACTAAGAATCTGGAAAGTCAATGTCTTTCTTCTATGAGTGAAAATAGAACTGATCGTAGCAGCAATGGGGGGAAAAAACAATTATTATTCAGTCCTCAAACAAATGTTTGCATCTCAGAGAGAATGAGAGAGTGAAACGAAAAAAACCAAAAACGTGCATGAATCGTCGAGGGAAACCTTGAATGTTGAAATCGGAACCAGAAGGCAACCCAAGACCGTTACATGCATTTTACTCTTACCTCGTTTCATCTGAACTTCTCACTGTTTTCGCCCTCTAACGCTTTTCGTCTTCTCCCTGTTGCGTCTTCACTCGAGCATTTTTTTTTTTCCTTTGCTTTTTTTTTCCTTTAAATATTGCAGGGAAAAGTCGAACAGGCCACTACCTTTCCCGCCTTTCTTCACCCAGGCCGAAACGAAACAGTCGCAGGGAACAAGATGAACCGGGTAAAAGAATCGATTTCTTAAAAACATGAAAGAGCCAGATTGACTTCTCACAGTGTAACTTGAAAGCCGAATTTGACGCGCCGCTTGAAAACCCAAGGATGGGTGCTTCACTTCACTGCCTCATTTTCTTTCTTTTTCTTCCGTTCCATTATTTATCACTGAATCCAAATTTTAGAACCTGTTTGGAGTGACTCAACTACAAGGTAAATATTTATGGGAAAATGAAAACAAATACCACCTGAATTTCAAAAGACAAATAAGGCACCTGAATAAGCAAAATGACGTATAGGGGACTGGGTACCAATCTGGAATTCAAATTTTTGGCCAAAAGACCGAAATGCCCTATCTGAAAGTGAGAGAAAGGAGAGAGGAAGACGCTGATGAAATACGGGAAGAAGGAAAGAAGAATGTTAGAAATGCTATTATCTTACTCCTCCGCATCACCGTTCTGTAGAGATTGTTGATTTGGTGGGTTTTGGTTGTGGGAAAGAAGATTTGTAGTAAGAGAGGGAGTGAACCTGTGGGAAAGAAGTTGATGGCGGGATTTGGATTATTCATTTTTGTGGCTGCTTCATGGTGAAATAGGAACAGGATTATTACATTTGAGGGTTTATATTTAGTATTCGATGAATGATGAAGCAAAAATCAGAAAACAATGGCAAGCAATTACGTAATGTAACTGCTATCATATGCCTGCTGGTTTGTGGTAAATCTCATTACGTGAATGGTAAATTTTATTATACATGTAGTTAATTATGAAAGTTAATACATTGCCCTGTCTGAAAGAACTTGTACTCCCTGAGATTGTCGTCGTCGAAGAGGTCGCTGAAGTAACATCAACTGTAATACACAAGTAGGAAGCTTAAATATTGTTCTTCATAGAGTATTTTCGATGGGTTCCCACAGCTTAAAATGTTATTGCTTAGCATTCCTCTTTTTGGTTCTGTCTCTGTTCTTCGCATAAAACCATTTTCAGAGAATGTGAAGCTGTCTGGTTTTCTAGTATTATTAAATCATTTGTCCTGAATTTTACAAAACACATATTGTGATTTACAACTTTTGTAGTGAAAGTGACTACTTTGTTAATGGGTTTTACAACCTGTTTTCAGGAGATAAACAACTTGTTTGTAAAAACTAATAAAATTCCACGCTAAATTTGATAAAACGTATAGTGGGATTTACAACTTCCGTAGTAAAAATGACCACTTATTCAATGGGTTTTGCATCTTGTTTTCAGGGGATGTGCAACTTGTTTCTAAAAACTAATAAAATTTCATACTAAATTTGACAAAACACATAGTGAGATTTACAACTTTCGTAGTGAAAATGATCACTTCTTCACTGGGTTTTATAACATGTTTTCAAGGGATTGGCAACTTGTTTCTAAAAACCAATAAAATTTCATGCTGAATTTTACAAAACATATAGTGATATTTATAACTTTTGTAATGAAAATTACCACTTCTTAAATGGGTTTTGCAACCTCTTTTCAAGGGATGAGCAACTTGTTTCTAAAATTAATAAAATTTCACGCTGAATTTTACAAAACACACCGTGAGATTTACAACTTTTATAGTGAAAATGACCACTTCTTAAATGGCTTTTGCAACCAGTTTTCAAGGGATGGGCAACTTGTTTCTAAAACCTAATAAAATTTCATGTTGAATTTTACAAAACATATACTGGGATTTACAACTTTTGTAGGAAAAGTGACCACTTTGTTAATAGGTTTTGCAACATATTTTTGGAGGATGAGTAACTTACTTTTCACCACCAATAAAATTTCACACTGAATTTTACAAAACACATAATGTGATTCACAACTTTTTTAGTGAAAGTGACTACTTTTTCAATGGGTTTTGTAAACCTGTTTTCACCGGAAAGGCAACTTATAAGCATAAATAAATCATTCAGTGAACGTGCACCTGAAGTACGTCACAATAAACATTGAACTATTAACTTTCATAATTAACTACATGTATAATAAAATTTACCATTCACGTAATGGGATTTACCAAAAACCAACAGGCATATGACAGCAGTTACATTACGTAATTGCTTGCTCTTGTTTTCTGATTTCTACTTCATCATTCACCGAATACTAAATATAAACCCTTAAATGCAATAATCATGTTCCTATTTCACCATGAAGCAGCCACAAAAATGAATAATCCAAATCCCGCCATCAACTTCTTTCCCACAGGCTCACTCCCTCTCTTACTACAAGTCCTTTTTCCCACAACCAAAACCCACCAAATCAACAATCTCTACAGAATGGTGATGCGAACGAGTAAGATAATAGCATTTCCAACATTCTTCTTTCCTTTTTCCCGTATTTCATCAGCGTCTTCCTCTCTCCTTTCTCTTACTTTCAGACAAGGTATTTCGGTCTTTTGGCCAAAAATCTGAATTCCAGATTGGTACCCAATCCCCTATATGTCGTTTTGCTTATTCAGGTGTCTTATTTGTCTTTTTGAAATTCAGGTGGTATTTTATTGTCATTTTCCCAATATTTATTCCTATAATTATTATAAAATTTAAATAATAAATTCACGGATAATAAATAAAATTAGTTAAAATAATAAAAAGATTAAAAATATATTTTTTTAAATATACCCTTATAATAAATAAAAAATGATAAGAAAAAGAATGTGTAGGAAAATATAACAATAGAAATGTCACCCAAAAAAATGTGACAATAGAAAAATAATTAAAGATGACATTAAAAAATAGGCATTAAATGTTAAGACAAAACCCAATTGAAGCTCATAAAATGAACCACACTTCTTTTTAAATTTAAAAGTTATAAACAAAATTAAAGGGAGTACTATTAGAAGTGAAAGTGCTTACAAGCATTTACAAATCATGGATACAAACAAGCCCTCAATTATTCATATTTAACATTTTATAAAACTATTATTTTGTTTTTATATAAAAAAATATAAATAAATTGAAATTATTAAAATTTAAGCTGAATAATTTACTACTTTATGAAGTATTATAATTTTCATTCAATAATAATGGAGAAAAATTAAGGGGGGAAAGAGGAGGACAGGCGGGAAAAAAAAATCCCTCCGTCCCTTTTTATAAGTAAAATTAAAACTCATCACATAGATCAAAATGTTAATTAAAATTAGTTAAAGATAATAAATATGTAGAAATTAGAAGTTCTTTCTAAAATACCCTTATTTATGAAAAAAAGAGAGTATAAGAGAGAGTAAGAAAATTATTATAACAAAGAGAATTATGAAAGAAAAAGAATGTGTGGTAGAGAGATAATGGTTTGGGAAATAAAATAATAAATATATTGAATATTAAAAAAATTAATTAATGAGAATAAAATAGAAAATTCATTATAAAAATTTAAAACAACTTATAAACGTTGCTTATCTTTATAAACAAAAGTAGATGAAAGTTGTTGTTTGGGAGTAACTCATTTCCGCTTGGAGACGCGCAACTTGCTTCACGGTTTGATTTCCGATGCATCGGAAATTTTCACACTAATAAAAGCCAGTGAGCCACGGTGCTTCATTCACTCTCCTGCTTTATTCCCTAAGCTGGCGACTACGGCCTAATCATATTTAACCATGCCTTATAATTTTTTAAAATAATATTATATAGTATTTTTTCGAATGAAATATCATTTTTATTAAATTACCAGATAAGCAAAAATAACATTAGGAGGAGACCAGTAAAAAGATTTTGCCTTGTTTGAACTTTAATTTTAACCTTCCCTCCCCCATTATTTTTCCTCTTTTACTGTTTAGGACTTATTTGTAGTGATTTATAAATAGTTTACAAGTAGTTTTTTAACTATAATTTACAAAATGCAAGATAAATATCTGAGTGAAATTTTGTCTCAACTTATATAAGTATACTTATTGATCATGAATCTAACAAGCTTAGCATTTGCCCTTTTATGTCTTCGCTCTTTAACTTTATTTTTATTATGACAAGAACAAATAGTGTTCTGAGGTA